TCCCATTCCCTCCCAGTTTCTGTTATTTTTCCACAAGAAGTCATAAAATCTTAAAACTTTAGTGTAAAACATTTATCCAGTAATACATCTAAAGAAATAGACACTTTTGAGGAAGTTTAAGAGAGAGCAGTCTCTCAACAGGCAGAACTGACGGCAATATCAACCAGAAGTCTCAGGAGGAGAGAACCACCGAATGAATGTAGAGCACCAAGTAAAGTTTGGGTGTGGTTTGTTGGTTTGGTTTTTGTGGGATTTTTTTTTTTTGGCGGTGGGCATTTTTTGAGTGGGTGGCGGGGGGAGGGGCAGCAGGGGGCAGGGTGGAACTAGCAGCAAGATATAGCCAACAAAGATTTCACTACTTCTCATTTGAGGCTTTATTTTTCCATTTTCTAGGATTATGCCACCTATTCAGTATCTCCTATTTTTAAAACTATGCTTGAAAAGGAATACATAGTTCCATACGGAAATGATGGACTGTACATAGAATACTACTACGGAAGGGGCAGCAGGGGGCAGGGTGGAACTAGCAGCAAGATATAGCCAACAAAGATTTCACTACTTCTCATTTGAGGCTTTATTTTTCCATTTTCTAGGATTATGCCACCTATTCAGTATCTCCTATTTTTAAAACTATGCTTGAAAAGGAATACATAGTTCCATACGGAAATGATGGACTGTACATAGAATACTACTACGGATGACATGAAGCTGGAAGAACCAGAGTAGACAACTAATACTCTTTAACAAGGACACTGGAATAGTCTCTGCAAAAACCAGAAAGGAGTACAACTTCTCCATCTAGACAATGCTTGGAGAAGATATTACATGCTCAAGTGAACCATAATTACACTGTTGTGGTTATGCCTCTGCTTTACAAATTCTGTTCTGATGATGGTTCCTTCATGCTTGGCTTCTCATTCAACTGCTCTTTATCTGGAAGAAAAAGTATGTTAGTTAGCACTCTACAATATCTGACTAATTGACAGGAATACTGCTCCAGAAGTGTTTGGTGTATATTAAAAAAAGCATATATGAAGCGGTACTTCTAATACTGCTAACTGTTCCAAGCAAGGTAAAATCATCTACTACCAGTAGAGCCACAATTTTAAGCAAAAGCTAAATTGCAGCAAGCCTTTGCACAAAGTATAAATCTCTCTGCTGCTTGAGACTACCTTGTTGTGTTAAATTTGTAGTACTTCATCAAATTCCACCTGTTTTGGTAAAAGAATAACCATTACTGGCTCATTTTTATTAATGCATTTCAAAAATGGACATCACATGTAACCAAGCACTGCACTACTGCTTAAATAAAGTTGACACTTCTGTTGGAAATAGGGTTGAGAGGGCAGGCACGCTGGAACGCAGTATATTAATATACTTTTTGTTACAAATGAATTACAGACTATGAACACCTGATTCACCTCTAAAAGTTCAAACTACCTTCAACACAATTCGAAATAGTCAAATTAGGTCAGAGTAAACACTATTTCAAACTAACTCAGTGAATTCTCAAGATTTACCTTCAGATTACTCTGTAACCAATGTACCTTAAAGGTTTTTTTTTGGGTTTGGTTTTTTTTTTTAAGGTAGCTGTAGATTATCCCAGAAAGTCAGATGTCCACCTTTCCTCCTACTCGCAAGATGCTGATACAACTAAAGGAAGCATGTTTCCTTTGCCTTTACGTCTCATCTGCCATAAGGAATAAATATACAAATAACCCATCCCCCTACACATCCATAGCATGGTTCAGCTATTCAGAGTAGGTTATATATGGCAGTATACACAGTGGCAGAATGGACAAAATCTTGTTGCTAAAGTACATGGATACTTACCCTCCAATTTTCGTATTAAGTCTAATGGGATTTCATGTACCATTGATGCCATTTCCTCCAGATGTTGATAGGATTCCAGCAATAGTGACAGGGAATATTTTCTATCATTAAGAGATATTGGCGATGGTGTCTTGCTAAATTCTTCATCCAAGCAAAAGACTTTTCGAGGACCCCACAATTCATCTCTTTCTCTTTTTTCTGAGCTAAAACTTACAGATTCACCTTCACTATGCGTTTCATGCAACTCCTCTTCACTTCCAGATGCAGCCTCTTGCAGTGCTTTATGTGTGTCAAACAGGGAATGTAGATCTAGCTTTGATTTTTGAGTATCTCCCTTATTTTTTGAAAGCCCTGTTACATATGCACTGTCTATTACATCAAAATCAGACTCTGAGCTTTCAGATTTGCTGAGGTCTAAGGTATCAAGTTCTTCTGGAAACGTCTCACTCAATATCCCTGAGCGGAAAGTTTTAGGACTACCAGACCTTAACAGAGATGCATTCCAGTGCAGCATCTTATCCATTAAAGAACTCCAAGAGTGGTCTGAAGGTTGAACATTTGTTCCACTATTGTTTTCTGAAAAAACATCTGAAGCATTCACGCTCTTTACATCCGGAAAAGTCTGTTCTTCTGTATCTTGTACAGAATTTTTGAACAAAACAGAACATTCTAATTCGTGTTCTTCAGGTCTCTCATTCTCTCGCATTTCAGATGTTTCCAAAATTGAAGATTCAATGATATGACTTATCTGCTCTTCAGATCTAAATTCCGTAGAACTTAATTGGGACTTCCTTTCTGACATGGGAGGATTGAAGCCAGGTACTGGAGATGCATGGATAGAGTGCATCAAACTAGAGTCCGCCACCTTCTGCATTATAGGTCTAGCATCCATTGGAGATTCGTCTTTCATTACTTCAGTTGGGGTCAGCTCTATGCCGGAGGAGCTCTCAGTCTGAACAGCATTTCTCCACGAGCTTCTAATTTCAGTAACTAAACAGAACGAACCAAGGTAAAATTTTAGTACTTTCATACTCTCAATCTGTTTTCATTCTATCCCTTCAGCAACATAATCTAAAAAAGAAGATGTATAGCTACTTCATATTTTTTATGCTTAATTTCTTCCTCAACACAAAGGAGATTTTACACAGGAAAAAAAAAAATCTACGCTACATCAAATTCACAGTATTCACATCTTATTAGGCCTACTATGTTGTGTTACAGAGTAAGCCATTAGGATAACTTGCAGCTTCACTGAAATAATTATCTTTTCCTTCTTGCGTGACATGTACAATGGTCAATGAAATAATCATGTTTCTAGCCAATAAGTATTACAAAAACAAGAGTTTTAGACTTACGCAGATTTTCTGGAGTTCTGGGAATCTGTCTCCTTGTTAAAAATGGGTCAGAAGCCAGTGAGCTAATGAGATCTTCTAACGACATTCCTTTTCCTTCACCACTCTGAGGAGAGTCAGACATCACTGCTCTTGCAACCTGTAGGATGTTAGAGAAGGGTAAATCCTGAGAAGGAAAAATTATAAACCTTTTTATTTCTGCCAGTTATGGCTCGAAATAAATCCCATTCTCCAAATAATCTGAAGAGTCTGGAATCTCCTGACTCTTCTGCTGTCATTTACTTACTTAGGCTCACAATGACCACAGCATGCTACAAACACAAAATGAAGATAGCAGACTGAAATCAGAATTCAATTTTAAGTTCCCTCATCATCTATGAATCCATCTTTAAAAGAAGAAAATGAGGTCAGATAGAAAATATTTAAGAAACTAGTCAAGAACTGCGTAAGCTTGAAGACTAGAGCTACATTTACATAAAGAAAACATTTTAGCAGATGAAAAATAACTGTACCTGTACCATTTCAGTGAAAGATGCAATTTACTTTCCAAATCAAGTTGTGGCACGTTTTACAGTAACTCTTGTGAAGGAATTTCTCAGCTAAATCTTAAATAACATACCTAGAAGAAGAAATACTTAAGTCTCTACTTAAAGTTCCTGTAGAAAAATAACAGAAACTGGGAGGGAATGGGAGAACATTGTCCCCCAAAGTTCAGCTTACATCTTAACATAAGCTGTAATATTAGAGCAGCTTTGAGGTGAGACACAGTTGCTGCTCCCAGGAACAGAATGCACTTGGAACAGACAAGGCTCCATCTGCTCGAACAGGATGTGCAATATCCTTGAAACGGGGAGCAGAGTGGTACGGAGG